TTTTGTGACTCATCGGGTGGTTAGGAAAATCTTGGTATATGCAATTCGTGAATTTAGGCGTAAGGTTAGGATTACTGCTAGATACATCAGAAACCTTATACAATTTACAGCACTTTTCACAAGCCGCATATTTTATCAAATGAGCACAAATTCCGAGATTCTTTTGTGCCATATAGAGAGATGTAGGAAATGTAGAAAACAAGTTTTCGTCTATATTCACAAGAACGTAGCGGAAAAATTTAAAGAGATAATTTATCGCTACGTTAGATAGCCGACACCTCTCCTGGTACTTCAAGATCCATACAACAATCCACAAAAAAGGGTGATCTAGTCCTTCAGCATGCCCATAATTGCTTTCTCCTAATTCCATTTCAGGTGCATCAAAATTCACTTGGTAATCTTCTTCTGAATCATCTGATGAATATTCTGAAGTAATATCTTCAAAGTTTCTTTCATTGTCTTCTTCAGATGCATTGTCACCATTATCAGATAATAGTTTATTTATTATTTCCGGAAGAGAGGTTTCAGACCTTCTGTATTTTTGAGAAGCAATTGGTGCTCTTTTTACTAAAAAGGGATAGCTCTCTTCTTGCGGTTCTTCGTTATAGCTCATATCGTTACAATTAAAATCATTTTCTGGATTTGGAGGCGCTAATGGAATTTCTGGTGCTTCAGGAAAATTACGGGTAGTTTTGCGTTGAGGTTTAGTCTTGTTCTTGGTGTGAGATGCTTTAGTTCTAGGATCTACTGCTTTTCCTTTGCAACCCTGACAGTAGCATGGTTCAAACTTTCGATTTCTGGGAGGACGAGTATAGGGAGTTTTCTGAACACTTTGAACGCTAATTGTATTATTAGACATTTTGAATTCTTTTAACAAAGAATGAGAAATTTATTATTTATTATAATAATTATATAATGGTATTTTATTGTTTAGCCACAATTTGTGATTTATAGTTTAAAGTTAGTTTGTTTCAATTATGATCGTAACGCGTTTATATGATCTACATACGTATATAGTTTAACTAATTTAAACTCTTTCTTTTTTCTTAATTTTCTTACCAGATCCTCGGCTTTTCTTACTTTGCCTAATATTATCTATTTATTATTTTTTTTCAAGTACCTAATTATACAACAATGAACAAAAACAAGTAAGTTAAAAAAATTTTTAGAATCATGCAAAATTACAGATTCTAAGATTATCTTCGATGGTATAGAAAAACTTCGTTACAAGAAAAAAGAGTTAAAAGTCAAACTCCATATTCTCATCAAGATGACTCTTCATACTCAGAAGAAATTTCGTATTCTCGTCGGAAAAGTATTTCATTAAACATGAATAGA